CATCGTCAAAGGAGTAGGAGTCCTCAGCGACATAAGATGCCCACTTACTCGGGTAAAGAGCGCTGGGAGCCATTCGCTCTTAAATTCACCAGGATAATAGAAGACAGTAGATGGTCGGACCGTAAGACCAAACAACGGTTTTTCGATTGTCTGGTGGGTGATGCGTTGGAGTACGCAGATAAACTCCCACGAACTCTTGGGTTCGCAAAACTCAAGAAAAAGATGAAGGAACGGTTTAGCGACAAGGACGTTCCAGTAGTGGCCCGCAGGGAGCTAAACTTCACTAGACAAGAGGAGAGTGAGAGTTTGGCAGAATTTGCTCAGCGGATTCAAACCATTACGGGGGATGGCTTTGCTCACGCAGACACCACCACCAGGAACCAGATCGCTACGGAGGCATTCCTCAAAGGCTGTCGCGAGAAGATGGCAGCACAGAGAGCCATGGAGAAGAATCCCAAGACGGTTCACAAAGCTCTGAAATACATAAAGGCCTCCGTGGCCAATCAGCGTGCTTTGTTTGGTTCTCGCGCGCCTCACTACCCTAGTAGGCAGGTAGAGTTTGCGGAGGGCACTAAGTCGGGGGATGATAAAGTAGAGGAAGCCCCTGTACAGTTCTCAAAAGATGAGCTACAGGAGCTAAAGAAATACCTGGCCCGGCTTAGTGCGGGCGGCGTATCTGCCCGTCCGTCTTCTCCTCCACCTTGGGGTGACTACCGATCTCCGGAACGCGACCGAGGGTTCCCTCAAAACTATGGGGGAAACCGATCTCCGGATTATCGTGATAGGACACCGGTCCCTTATCCCTCATCAGATTATCGCGATAGGCCCCAGTACCCTCGTCCACCCCAGTACAACGGACGTAATAGGTACGACGGTAGACCCCGCGACAGGTCACCATACGCTGAACAAGGTCCTTCGCGGAACCGTAACTGGTCACCCAGATATCAGGGGGACTCACCTGGCACAGGGTCACAAGGCCGAGGTCAAAATCAACCAGGCAGGGGCCCATGGGAACCAGGGGGAGGCAACAACAGCCCCGCCAGTTGGGGTAACGACCGAGGACGGAATACCCAGGCGTACCGTCAAAGATCTCCATCTGCGTCCCCGGAACCATATAGAGGGAGCAACGGTCCCGCCAGTTGGGGTAACGACAAAGGACGGAATAACCAGGCAGAGAGATCAAGGTCTCCATCACCCACGCCTAGAAAGGAGGTCCAACCTTTGAGGGAGGTGAAGCTGGCGGTCTCAGATGGCAGTAGCATCACCATACCACTCACTTTGAATAGAACTCCTATTCAAGCTGTCGTGGATACAGCAGCAACTATGACACTGATTAAGCGGGAGCTGGTAGACAAGCTTGAGGGGCCACTGGTGCTTGGAAAACGAGTGAGGCTCCGGGGTTTTACTGGCAATGTGGAGATAGTGTGGGAAATAAAAGACCTACATATCGGAATAGGGAATACTGAAGTACCCTGGACCGTATGTGAGGCCCCCATCATGGACGACATGTTGCTGGGGGTGGATTTCCTGTCTCGGAACAACTGTGTCATCGACCTAGATGCGGGCGTCGTGTTCATTGGTAATCAGGCAATACCTATCACATCAAGGTTAGAGGAACAGAGGACATCTTCTGCTGTCAAGGTAGCACAAAATGTAACAATACCACCAAACACAAGATGGCCTTGCATGCGACAGAACACAGGAGCACCGGGTTTACTCCCAACATGATGATGTTGAGAAGGGAAACGTTACAGCCACTAGATCTCCTATTGGGTCTC